GTAATCAAAGCCCCAACTATTGTAAATCAAACAATCTGATTTTAAAAAGCACAAGTAAACATAAGTGCACAACATCCAAAGTGTATGCCATATGCCTTGCCTCTATTACAAGCATGGCAACAACAATAAAAAACAGAACTATACAAAATAAAAAAGGTATAGAAAAATATATCGTAGGTGACATTGAAGCTGAAGTTTTAAACTCATTTAATATTAAAACATTACCAAAAATGTCAGCCTTGGGTAAAATTTTAGGGGCTATAGAGTCACATGTAACACAACATGTTGCATTACTGAAACAAGGAATAAGAAGTGTGGAACTCCAATTAAAACAAGCCCAAGCCTTAAAAACATGTCTAAATGTAAATCTATTTGGTGTGTCTAAAATTAACAATAAAACCGTACTAGAAGTACAATGTTTACAAATGCAAACTTATAAAATAAAATACAATACATTTAAAAAAATGGTTAATCTGTTAAGTAATGGGGAGTGGCTTTTTAAATGGTTCAAAAATCCTCATATATAAAATCAACAAATTACATAATACAAAATATATATATAAAGTTTAATTAAAATTAAGCCACTCTGAGGGGAAAGGAAAAAGGAAAAACACTGTTACACAACACAAAAAAGAAAAAGCAGCCATGGCCTGGGTGTTGCCAAAAATGATGAATAAAATGTTATGGCAAATAAAGTTAAGTGAAACACACTTAATTGAAAAAATATATATAAATTAATCAAATTAACAAAACGTAAAAACGAAGCAAATGGGTAACTTGGTCCCTAAAGAAATGTCATTTAAACCATTCAAGCGAACAATGGCACAAAAGTGTTTAATTTAGTCAATGGGTGTATCTGTGTGGTAACCACTAAAAAACATGTATTTTTAAAAAGTATAACAAAAAAAGGCCCAATTAAGTCATGTAAATGTAATGTAACAAAGTCATTATTAATAAAATGATTTACCAAGGTCCTCTATTTAAAAAAAAATGTTTAAAAACCAAAAAAATGTAAACTGGCCCTTCAATTTAAAAATACATTGGAAACAACAACAAAAATAATTAATAAAAGCAAAAAAATCAGGCAATATGCAAAAAATGTATCTAAGTCTGCTCAGCTAAAAAAAATTTTTGATTCACAATGGTCAAATATTAAAATGGGGGGGAGAGGAAGAATTGGTAATTTCTCATTGGTATAATTTTTTTTTAAATGGTCTCCCAGTGTCACAGCTCTTCTACATTTAATGCTACATCCTATTGTAATATTATTTGCATTACTAATTTTGTTAACCTTTATTATGCTATGTTCATACTGCCGAATAAAAAAGCAACAAAAAGTTTTAAAGCAAGTAATATATAAAATTAAATTGCTTGCAAAACTATAGAGTAATACAATAATTAATGGCATTAGTCATGTATCAAGAGGGCGGAATGTATATATATATATATATCAATGTACATTGCGATTCATATATCCATGTAATATATTATAGGTCATTGAGGCCTGGTATGACTGACGCATGCTTGACATCGAATGCGTGCGTTGCAAGTTAGCAACCGAAGCAAGGACTTAATGTTAAGGACTATTAGAATTCTTTATGCAAAAACAATCTTATGTTTCGAGAAAATTACGAAAATCATCAGACAAGGAAATAACACCAAATGGACTAATCTAAAATTGCATAAACATTAAAGACAAGGCACGCCTTAAATCATGGCGGCCCACCCAAAATTGTCTCTTTACAATTGTGCAGGTAAAAGGCCTAGTAAACAAAGGCAAAGAACCGATGATGCGACAAAACTGAACTATAAATAAATGCCTATAATTTCTGCAAATCAATGTCGTCTATGAATCCAGAGTCCCGTGTGAATATAAATGTGGTTTTGCCGGCTCCCCGCATCTTATGATCTTATACAACAAAAGAAACTTCGACTGGCCATCGGAACCATTCTGACCTTTAACTCTGGTATAGTATTTTTGGGATGTAAATGTAAAGTAAGGAAGGTTTGTTTTATAATCAATAAAAAGCATTTAAAGTATGGTGTACCACTACTGTGTCCGGTATCTGCTTGCTCCCCATCCTGTAGGAAAACCTCTATTTCGGTCTAGCAGTCCAACTGATTAGCTTAACCTTCAGCCCCGTTAAATGGTGCTCTTCCACAGGCTTTATGAATCAATTACAAAACCCTAACAAAGCTAGCCAAGGAAGAATCTTTTAAAGCCTTAACAGCTTAAATACCCCCTGCCTTGATGTTAGCCCTGTAAAGCTATTAAACTCCTGCCTGGATTGCATTAGCATCATGCAAGTCTGCTGCTAATCCTATAACCACTAAAAAAAGAACAGGAGTACTTGTGGCACCTTAGAGACTAACAAATTTATTAGAGCATAAGTTTTCGTGGACGTAACTGCTATACGTTTTGCCTTCTGTTTATAAGTATGGGTTTTTTTGAGACCGATGAAAACGTTGCAGCCTCATTTGTCTCTCAGGCATTTGTCTCTCAGGCATGTTAGGAGGAAGAAAATGCTAGGCGCACCGTCAATGAAATGAAGAAACAGGAGAGGAAGGAAGTAGTTTTACCCGTTTCTTGGACAACATGCTCATTCACTTGGTTTAAAATGCAGAACTGCATTACATTATACTCCTTTTTATAACAGGAAGGTAAAGTTAGATTTAAAATGTAGTGCAGCTACTAGCTTTTGGCTGTGCTCGAAACAGCCTCTGTCACAGCCTTCTGCTAACAGGGCCCAATCTAAAGCCCACAGGAGTTAATGAAAAAATTCCAAATGACTTCAGTGGATTTGGGATTAGACCATAGTTGTTTATCCTGACCTAGTGTCCCTTTGTCCAGAAGGAGCCTAAAGCACTACACCATTTACAGGTCAGATTGCCAGCTGCACCTTCCTATGCTGGCCACACTCTAAAGAGAGACAGAGGGCAAGACAGAGTGTTCCCATTGCTTCCCTCCCGAGGTTCCACCAGGGAAGGGGCAGCTTTAATTCCACAAGAGCTCCGTATGGGTTGCGGGGGTGGAAGCAGCAGCGGGGTTGTTGACATCAAC